TATCCAGCAGGCGATCCTGGTCTAGGATTGGTCAAGCCGCGGAGTTCGGTTTTAAGTGCAGGCTGTTGAAGAGTTTCCTTAAGTGTACATGGAACCATAGATGGAGGAAGTGTAAATTAATCACAATTTTTCATTTAGTGCGCACTTGAAACTCAAGTATTTTCAAGAGTTGTCGAACGAGACCCTTTATGCCCCATCTGGCGGTCTGTAGAAGACTGAAGAGGTGGTTCAGACCCCTGGTGGCTGGTCCTATTAACGAAGAGGATTGGATTTAATTAAGGAATATGGATGTGTTTGGCGGATGCAGAAAAACTAATCAATTTCAATTTTCGACAGAAGGTTAACAACAGTCGTATTTTTCATCACCACTTCAAGACAACTTTCACCACTTCAAGATGCAGGCTGCCTAAACAGGTGGTTTTCAGGGTCTTCGGACCTTTCACCACTTCAGGACAATTCATGTATGAAAATCCTTAATGGTCCCGAAGTGGTGAAAGCTCCGAAGACCCTCAAAACCACATGTTTAGGCAGGCTGCATCCTCAAGTGGTGAAGGGTGGTTTTCATGGTCTTCGGACCTTTCAGGCTTTCACCACTTCAGGATCATTTATGATTTTCAGACTGCCAAAAACTCTCACTTGACCACTTCAGGACACCCTTTACCACTTCGGGATGTAGCCTGCCTAAACAGGTGGTTTTCAGGGTCTTCGGACCTTTCACCACTTCATGACTTTTCAGGATTTTCAGACTTCCAAAAACTCTCATTTCAGAATTTTCATTCCTGGATTTTCAGCTACCCGATAACCGCTTGTGCATTTTTTCGCACGTTTTCACAAAACATGTCCAGATTCAGGAGTTAAATCCAATCCTTTTTGCTAATGGCACCAGGCCCCTAGTGGCTCAAAACAATCTGTATCGCTTGAAGTCTGCTAGTTTGTTAAAGCAACGCTGGGCCTCGTTTCCGGCAGGTCATACTCCCCACCATTGGAGTCTCAACTGGGTGATTCGTAATGTATACTCATCTAAGAGGGGGAACAGAACAGGGGCCCCCCAACTCCTTGTCGTCGATCTCTTATTATAAAAAAAAAGGAAAAAAAGAATGTATGCTCCTATCATCATCATTCCTGATCTCAGTTGCAGTTGTTTTTAATAACTTATTTGAAACATTTCTCTATTTATGTGTGTCATCCTTGCGCAGGGACCATGCTAATCTTCTTTCTCTGTATCGTTCCAATTTTAACGGATGTCCCGAAGGACAGAGTTCAGCTGCATTTTCTTACGCAAAAAAAAAAAGACTCGTCTTGAACCACCTGTTCCTCGGTGATTTTTCAAACCTCCTTCCCCCCCCAACAAAAAAAAAACACCTATACGTTTCCCAGTCATTTTTCTCGAAATGCTGCTGCAACTTTGGGGGGTCGGCAGCTGGAGCGAAATGGCTGGCGGTGCCAGCCAAAACGAGGCCCGGACTGGTTCATTTTTTTTTGGCACGCAGCGCCCTCAGTGGGCAAAAGTGCCTCGGAAATACTGGTGGCTTGCCAGATGGACAGGTCCAGAGAGTGCCCAATTGTGTGTAGGGTGTTGTTTAGGGCCTCGCTGCGTTACTCATGAAATGCGTTTTTTTATGATTTGCATATCACTGCACTAACTCGTGAATTTGGTCGTCCGAAAACACATCAAGAGCTGTCAGATGTTACTCTTGCATCTGTCAAGAATTGTCGCCGCTGCACTACTCTTGCCTTGTCGATCGTGAAAATGAGTTTCACGAGCTGTCAGGGCACCGTCGGCCGAAGACTTCTTGAGCGCTCTTGCACGCCTGCTTGCAACAACGGTTTTTGCAAGGGTGGTCGGATGGTTGCTTGAAAGGGCGCAGGATTTGTAGAGCAGGCCTGTGATATGCAAAACCTCACACCCCCTCGCGGCTTCCCGTACTGGGTCGCTGATCAAAGTTCTAGGAGGGGCGTGGCCGAGGATTTTTGGCCATAGGGGTTGAGTCTCCCGAACGGAACGGGAGGCTCTCGTTTCATGCCAGAGGTTACCCCGGAGTCGAACTGTCGTTGCGAAGTCCCGTGGGGGTCGGATCACTTCGGAGCGATAAAATCAGAAGGGTTTCCACAAAAACGAACTGCCGTCCTGCATCAAGACGGGAAAAGGCATCAAGGGGAAAGGGCCATGGCGGCGGAAGACAGAAACTCCGACCGTAATGAGTTTGAGGGATAGGTGGTGGGTTTGAAGCCTTCAGGCCTTGTCATCGGCCTCATGAAGTGACCGGACCGTCGGGTTTTTGCTGTAGAGGTGGTTGGTTTGAGGCCTTCAAGCCTCAGCGTCGGACTCGCAAAGTCCGCGCGGAAGTTTCCGAGAGGGCGAAGCGCCGGGAGGACTCACCGACGTCCGAATTCGAAATTGCACGGGTAGCGCCCCCGCATTACGGGAGAGCTCGGGGAAACGTGTCACTCCCTCGTAACCCAAGACCAAGTGTCGCCAAGAACACGAGTCCCCCTGGCGACACCAGCGACAATCAAACTGCGGCCGCCACACGGCGTGAGCGACCGACCAGGGCAACACAGTCAAA